GTAGTGTCTGAACTCTGAACTAAACTGGAAAGATGAGAACTTTTTTCTCGGAGAAAGTAAAAAAAGATCGGATTTTGTTTGATTTTCCCGGAAATAAATAGCCGCTTCTAAAGGGAAGAGAAGAAAGGGAAACAAAAAAAAACTGAGCTTTGGAGAAATCGGATCTGTGAAACGGTATCCTCTAGAGAGTATTTTTCTCTCTTGGATTTTGACTTTTTAATTTTGGGTGGGGGATTCAGAGTTTTAATATATATACTATAAAAAAAAGTTTTGGGGATTTATAAAGAAAACAAAGATAAAGTCAACTATCTGCCAAAGAATTTGGCGAGGCAGTTTATATTTTTGTCACTTATTCCATTTTTATTTCATATCTCTCTCTCTATTTTTCTTGAATTTCAGTTTTTTTTTTCTTTGTTTCAAGTGTTTTGCTTCATATATTTTTTTTCAATAAATCGTGAAAGTCCCGAAATTTTTAATTTATCATTTTTTTGGTATTCAGAATCACTTTTTAAATATTCTGATTTAAAAAAACCAACCGCATGTGTTACTATACTTTTGATGGATTTTACTTAGTATTTGGATGGTTCAGATTAGCATCGGATTGAAATACAGTTTATATCAATAACAATCGATCATCTGACTAATTTTTTATGATGTAAATCAATTTTGTTTCGAGATTTGAATTTTAAAAATCGATTTTTTACTCTATATTCTGAATTTTTGTCACGTAATTTAATTATTAAAATATGAATACGGACATGTTTAATTTCTTTATTATTAGAAAATTAAGTTTTGTTAACTTAATTAAATTTATTTATTTTTTTCATTTTTTTGGTCAAAATTTTTTTGTTAATTTAATTTAAAATTTTGTTTTATGAGTTTTTGTCTTATTGGAAATGGTTGTCCAATTTGCTGAATATTTTTTCTCATTATTGTAATTTTAATGATTTCTTTAAATATATGGTGGTTCGTATAGTATCCATGAAAATGATATAGACGTGAGTTCTAAGTCACACCAATCTTTTTAGTTACATGAATTTCTTGTTGCCAATTTTCCCCCACGTATATCTTATGATTTCTCATAGATATATGTATGTATAACAGTCTAATTAAATAAAATATATGAACGTGGAATACTTTGGAGTATAATGAAAGAAATATACATATCCATATATATAAAACAGAATTCTGTTAAGGTTATTAAATATATATAGAATTTTTGCTAGTATCGTAAAACTTTGTCCACTAATTAAACCGAGGCTGTAGATTAATCTTTGGTTACGGTACGTCGCGTTACACTCGATAAACTAGTTGGTGTTTTTAATTAATTTTATAAGAATTGTTTAGGGATTGAGAAAAAGGATGATTCTCGAAGGTAAAACAACCACACACTAAATGACACGTGTCAACCAAATATTACCTGTGCAGCTTATATAAATTGAAGCAAATTGAGGAATGAAATTCTCGAAAGCTAATTTCGTCGTTACG